TCGACAGGATCCCAACACATTCTCTTTAATGGTTCCAAAAAAACCCCTCACACCTGCTAGAGCAGTCCTGCTCTGGATTACAGGCTCAAACGTTGCTTGATTTTTTAATTTTTTAATTTTTATTTTTATTTGTTTTTAGCATATTAAGGTTAAAATTGCATAGCACATTTGGAATTTAAAATCTATATCTCATTTGCATGTTGGAATTTCTATAAAATAAATACAAAGCCTTAAAGGTCATAATCAGGAATCTGTAAGTTCTTTAACTCTTTTTCATGCTTAAAGTTATTAAATAAAGTGACTTTGGGTAATAGCTTCTTAATTTTCAGCAGTTACAAACAACCTCAATTTGATTGTATAATATGTACCCACTCCTTACTCTAGTCGATGCAAAAATCATTATTCTCTGAAGGAGAATACACATTGTAAACTTAAACATTACATTAAGATAACTAATAATAACTAGGAAAATGGAAGGAATGTATGTGCTACATGCTATGAAACCTATGACTCTAAGAATTCACTGATCAATTTACTTATTTTTAATGCCAGCTGTGCACTAAGCAAAGCCCTGACTATTAGTTCAGTAATTAGGCATATAGGTGTATTTGAAAATCTTTTTTTTTTTTTTGTAGAAAAGTATGAAAATTTGCAGTAAAATAAGATAAAATAAAATTTGCAATGAAATAGTCTTAAAGGACTGCTATTGTAATATGAAAAACTTAGAATGTACACACATATTTTTCTAGCACTGTTAAAGTATTTCTTCAAGATTATTGAAACATCCCCCAAGTACCAATAGGTTAAAGTAAAGTACTTTTTGATAGATATTTTTTAAAAATTCGTTAACATACTCCCATACAGAGTGAATATAATTTAACTTTTTAATGAATCACGTGAATGACAAAATTGAGGGATTGAGGGTTAAGAGCTAAATGCAGAGACAAGGAAATGATATCTTCTTCCCCTCACAAAAAATTCTGCTCTTCCTCCTCATTGCCATGCATTCAATTGTGTAGGGCAGGAATAAGAATATTATCATTGAACTCCTCCCCTGCCACCCAATCAACTATGCTATCTGAATGCCTCTTTAAATGCCTGCTTTGTTTCTTTGCCAATGGTACTACCTACTACTATAGTTCAGGCTTTCAGTATCTTTCTGATAGATGGCAAGAAGAGCTTTCTGATTGGTCTGCCTTTACAGTCTGACCACCCTGAAGTCCATTCTCCATTTTATAGCCAGAGTGATCCTTCTAAAAATGCATATCTGATCTAATCATTCCTCTGCTTAAAACCCTTTAATAGCTTCCTGTTGCTGTCAGAATGAAACCCAGCTACTTAATGTGAACTCTTTAGAAGGCTTTCGTAATTCAATCTCTATTACCTATTTGTTGTCTGCTTGATCTAGCTGTTTCTGATTGTTAAAATCTCCCTTTGTGGGAACCAGCAGTTAGCGTAATGGCTATGTCGCTGGACTCCTGCGTAGTCGACCGCGGTTCGCGTCCCGGACCTGGTGGCTTAAAATTCACACTGGGCGTGTGTGCGTGCGTGCCCAAGATCCCGGGAGGAAAATGGAGGAGAAGGGATTGCGGCGTGACCATCCCCCCTGGGGGGTGATTTCTCGCTTTCTGTCTCTCTGTCTCTCTCTGTCTGTCTGGCGAGCGCACGCACCCTATAGCGAAAAAACCTCTCCAAAAATAAATAAATAAATAAATAAAAAGGTAATTTAAATCTAGGTAGTTATTGTACTTACTGTATGAAGGGTCTTCAAAAAGTTTGTGGAAAATGCAAATTATGAAAAACTATGCATATTATGAAAAACTACATATGAGCTCATAATTTATATGCATCAAAATAAACTTGCTTAATTTCACTTTTCCATGAACTTTTTGAAATTCTCTTATACATGTTTGAACTCAAGTATATTATTCTAGGGTGTGTGTTTTATTTATTGATACTTTTATTTTATTTTTTCTCCTTTTCCACTTTCAGTTCATGTACCAATTTTCTATGTTAAATCTCCAAACCTCTGGCTTGTCTTTTCTCCCTGCTGATTTAGAAGCGCTAGCTGGAATTTTTATTAATATAAAATATTAAATACAAAGTATTCAGTCAAAGTAATTATTTCAAGCCCTCACCCAAATGTGGCAAAGGCCTTTCCTTCCTTAATCTATTTTGCATTCCTTCTTTGTTGTAATTTTTTTTAAAACACAAAAAGTGGTTATTACTTTTAGATCTACCCCCCATTTTACTGATTTCTCCTCTTACTAATATCTCTTGTATTCTATGCTTTCCTTCTGGGCTTATATTTTCTTTAGTCATTTTTTTGGTGTGGGTCTGTGAATGTTAAACTCTTCTTGTCTTTGACTGCAAATATTTTGCTTTCTCCTTAAAACAATAGTTTATCTATACATCAAATTATTGGTTGATAGAATTCTATTTAGCACTTCTAAGATACCATTCAACTGTCTTTTTGTTTCTATTGCTGCTTTTGGGAAATGTAGTTATAGTTCCTTTGTAGATGTTTTCCCTTTAGTAACTTGAGATTATTTTCATACTTATTGTTTTGTAGTGTTACTATAATGTGACAAAAGTGTTATTTACCTATATTTCTGTGCTCAGTAAACATGACAAGTATGGGACCTGAATGAGAGGCAACATGGAGAATATGTTCCTATATGGCCTGAAGCCTATACTGCAGCAGGCCTGCCATGTCACCCAGCAGTTTGGGCTCAAGGAGGATGCAAGTCCTCATGTGGTTCTGTAATCAGTGCCAAAAGGGCGACAAATGGAGCAGTGACTACTCACATCAGAAAACCTTCAGCACTTTCCCCGTCATTAAGTATAGCTTCTTTACTCTTCCTTTCAGTTTTCTTTCTAGAACTCCTATTAGGTATATGTTGGGGAGACTATCTAACTTCACGAATCTCCATTTTTCTCTCACATTTTAAAATCCCTTTATGCTTCTAAACTCTAAATAATTCTGGATGAATTATTCAGTACATCCCTTTAATTTACTAATTTTCTCAACTTTCTCTTCAAACTTTTTTATTTTATTGACCATATTTTTATTTCCCAAGATTTCTATTAGTTCTTTTTCACATTTTCTTGTTGTTTATTTACCTTTTATGTGTTCCACAATTTCTTGTCCTTTTAAAATTGGTGCTATGTCATCTTCATTTTACCTCTTTGAGAATGCAAAAATATCTAGTTTAAAAAAGTTTGTCAGATGGTTCCATAGTTAGTTTTATTTGGAGTAAATTTATGTTCTGAGTGTTCATTTTGTTGGCTGTGTTTCTTAGTATTAGGTATTATTATGTTTGGAACTTGGTGGTCAAGCTCATTTTGAGGGACAATTTTTTATCTTTTTCCTATTTTGTTACAGTTTATTTTTTTCTGTTACTTGTTCTGTGCTCACCTCTCCATGTTTAATAATTATGCCTCCATTTGCCTCCCTAGACCTCCATTCTAGAATTAGGTCTGATGCTGGCATTTTGATGTTCCTACCCCACAGTGGTATTGGAGATACCACAGACCCAGTCATGGCCAACTGCTTGGCTTGGTTCCTGATGCCAAGGCTGCGTCTTCGTCCTTTTGCTTCTCTAGGTAGTAGGTTGGCAGCAGTTTATTTTCAGCCTTTTTTCACAAGATCCTGGTTTCAAGGACTAATCCTGGCTTCTGTCCTTCAATTTATTTGAAGCTTCTTTAATTCCTATCACCTTGGAGCAGACGAAAGTCTTTGCTTTCGAACCTGAGACCTCAGGGGGCTTGTGGCTTCAGCCTTGCAAAGCGCTTGCTAAGTTCTTTTTGTTTCAGTTCCATTTTTTGATCCATGAGAACGTTTATTTTGGTTGAGAGTCTGCTTATGTCTTTTTGGTTTTCTCATTCTGTATTTTAGCCATCATTGCTATTTGTATGGAGGAAAGTGGGTGGATCAAAGCATGCCCTCACTCCACCAACTGGAGTAGAAAGATTTCTGTGTGTACCTCTCTAGCTCTTGCTATCCCTGCCTTATATTCATTGTTCTGGTCATAGTGAACTATTTTTAGTTTCTAGTTCAATAAATTGCATGCCCTTCCTCCAAGCTTCAAGTTTGGATGAAATAAATCACAGAATATAGTCAAAAAGAGATTTGTTCAAAAGTCAGTCTTATTACTGATAAGTTAATTAAAAAAAAAAAAACACTACGTTTGAGATCTGTAACCAAACAGGTTTGCCAACACCTCCTCCTGACTCTCAAAGCCTTCAGAAGCTAGCCTCAGAACAGCCCACTAAGGAGAAGGTTGGGACTGTAGAGTAAACACATTTACCCAAGATTGTCTGTTTTGCTCTGGGGTAGAAAGGGAAAAAGAAGAGAATGAATACTAAGTAATTGGGGCCTTGTACTAGAGTAGCTCACTAAGTCAAGAACTATGAATAGAACTAAGTAACTAATTAAGTAACTCAGCCTGAGTGTCAAGAATAGTGGTTGAAGAAGCCAGAGTTGTACACCAGTGGAAATTCTCCTCTCCTCCAAATCAAACATGGGGCCAGGGGGATGGAAGTTCCTATAACATAAGCCATGTTCCATTGCTATCCTCCAAATCTTTTCAAAGGCTCTTCCCACCTTCCCTTGCTTGCCAACTTCTCATTCTGATGCCTATAATAAAAATAATATTTAGTATTTATTGAATTCCAATTACAGGGGGAGCACTCACAAACATTGTCTCATGTAATCCTCGTAACGACCCTATGGAAACATTGGTAAATGGTAGAGGCAAGAACTGGTCCAGTTTTCTCCAGCGCTAGAGCTCATGTTCTTTTCATCATATGCAGCTTCCTCCCATATTTTATTGATCTTTGGATGCTTGGAACACAGCATGACAGAGAATAGATGCTCAATAATATTTAATGAGTGAACATATAAATCAACAAGGCATATTCTCAAACTAGCTACATAGAATGGATTTAAAACTTTAACATAATAGTTTATAAAGAATGCCTCACCTCTCTTGGCATCAGATTCCTCTTTAAAAGGGGGGGATATGAGTGTCCAATCTTGAAGGTTCCTTCAGAGATTGCTAGATTTGATAGATATACCTCTGCTGTTGCTTCTGCACAACCTCTTCAATATTAGGCTTTCCCCCTTGGCTGCCCAAGGAGACAATTGTTCTCTATTGGTTCTATTCTGCTTATATCCCTGGTTCAAGCTTGTTGGCCACGTGAAAGAGCAGGTTCCTTCTGGTCCCTGATCCTTTATACCTGCAAAAAAATTAATGCTTCACATACTACTGGCAGCCACAGTATTTCTATGTGGGGACTCACTGTGTATTAGTCAAGATTTTTAATTGCAAGCCACAGAAACTGATTCCTCCCAAAAAAGAAATGCATTGACTTATGTGATTGAGAAGTATAAAAGATGAACAAACCTTAGATATGGCTGGATTCAGAGCAGACGTATATTTACTATGAGCAAAATGAAATGCAAGCTTCTGGGTTCCTCATTGCTTGGCTCATCTTAGGCCCTGGGAGAGATCGTAGCAGTATGATTACATGATCATAAGTTTTTCTAAATCTTGGAAAAAAAATAGACATTTTAATAAAAATTGGTTAAGACGGTAATCTCTTTTCCATTCTGACTTTCTCACCACTGGGTCAAATGGGTCAAGTGATGTCTTGCCTTGTGAAGAAATATTTGCTTGTATGAATTGTTTTAACTCATTTTGTAACTCATTTTGTATTTATGATTTTGTATTTTATTTCTTAAAGAGGACTCACCACATTATATATACTTCAGACTCTACAAAACCCACATCCACCTGAGCCAGGTGCTCAAAGGATGCCACGTGGACATTTTCTTTCCCAGTGGTTCAGCTTTTTTTCCCTCTGGTTCATTAGTAGGCAAACTCCTCACATGGCTGCAATGAGGGCCATTGGCAGCTCTAATGCCATGGCATGCCCAGGGTTGGTAATTCCAGAGAGAAGAGAGATCCCTTTTGCTCATGATGTCAGCAAATGAGCCCGAGGAGGGTTCTAATTAGTTTGGTTTGAGACACATGCCATCCTCTGAACCAATCATTATGGCCAGGTAAATGCAGAACACTGATTAGTTAGATTTTAGCAATATACCCAGTCCTCCATCCAGGTGATGGTAACTGGGAGCAAGTGCTATGGTTGGGAGGTTACCCCAATCTAGGTTTTTTATAAACTAAGACTGGTCAGGGCCAGCAGCTGGTGTAATGGCTATGTTGCTGGACTCCCACATAGTAGACCATGGTTCGAGTCTGGGACCTGGTGGCTAAAATTCACAGCAGGCACGTGTGCATGCGTGCCCAGATACTGAGAGGAGAGTGGGGGAGAAGGGATTGTGGCGTAGCCATCCCCCCTGGGGGGTGATTTCTCGCTTTCTGTCTCTCTGTCTCTCTGTCTTTCTGGTGAGTGCATGTGCCCTATAGCAAAAACCTCTCAAAACCAAACCAAACCAAAACAAAACAAAACAAAAAAACTAAGACTGGTCAAGGAGAGTTTTCCAAATGGGAGCTAGGTAGACTAAAATCGCATGTCTCTAAATCATACAAATGTGTAATAATCAACAATGTATTATTTTGTATTGAACTAACAAGCTTTAGAATGTTTCATAAACAAAAGGTCATTTGATCATTAAACTGTTCTATACAATAGGCAAAGACATTATATATATATTTTTCAAATTAAGAAATGCAGTAAGGGGAAAAGCTACTTTTGAAATCCATATCTTTTGATTCCTTGTTCAATACTCTCTCCATGATCTAGTACATTTGTATAGCTCCATTTCATTAGTGAGTTTAAGGAGGTAGAATGTTTGAGTGAAACAACAGAGTACTGCCTATGAAAACAAGGATACCATCTAAATCTTATGATTACAGAAATATGTTTATGCTATCCATGAGTCATACTGAAGCCATTTTACTTGCAATGTAGGTAATAGCCCTGCCCTACCGCTTTCACTTTCCCAGCTCAACAAGTGTCCAGGTATTAGGGCCAGGCAAGTTATTTATTGGAAGAGTAAAGCAGGAAGGGTTCTGGGTAAGCCACAGAGAAAATCAGCTGTGGATGCTTGTGCATATTCTGCTCCTAGATTGGAACATGACCCTTTCCTTCTCCTGGTTAATTAAAGGCTCAGCTCAGGTGACACTTGATCCAGGAACCCTCCCTGACACAGGTCCAACACACCTCCCCTCATTTTGGTGCTTCTTTGGTGTTCCCACAAGACTCTTGATGCAATGCACTTGTCCCTGTCATGTAATCATCAGTGTTCACGTATTTCCTACATCAATCCATTGCAGCTAATTGGGCATAAAGATTCTGACTTTTCTACAACTCTCTAGCACCTAGTAGAGGACTTGTCCTGCAGGAAACATTACCTTTATAGGCAAATGAACCTCAGGTACTGTGGCTTAGAGAGACAGCCAAACTGTTTCGGTTTTGCTTTCAAAAACCAGTTTGAGAGTTTCATATCTTTGAACTCCAGAGGTCATAGCATTGACCTCTGAAGAAAATTCGTGGTGGAAAGCAATAATGAATGAACAAGACCGAAGCCTGTTGATTTCTCTATATATTCAGTGGTCAAGTTTGGTAATTTCTTCTCTAACATCTTCCTTGGACGCTCCGGGAAACAACTGAAACTAAGAAGGAACAAGTTACATAGGTAAATCAAGAGCCTCTTTCTTTATAACAGCTATATTTTTTCTTCTAACATATGACTTCAGTTTCATGTAAAACAATTAGATTAGTGCATTATTTACATTAGTGCATTATTTTTACATTAGCAAAACAATGTAAATTTTTTTTTTTTGCTAATGTGAAAGTGAATATATGATTGAACAAATAAAGTGACTTTTATACTGTGATACCTGAATGGCTCTCAGGAGTGAGTGGTCCTATAAATCTGAAATCTGTAGGAGTAAATTTTGTCTTCATAGTAATTTAATAATTGATTTCTTAAATATTAATTTATATGGTTTTGTAAAAGGAAAATCACCACTTTGGAATCTTGTCTATAACTTGGATCAAAGTCTAACTACTCTTTGAAAATGAATATTCTCTTTAGACTTTTTGGAATGAAATCCTCAGTTGTGTGTGTGTATGCATTATAACTAAATATTATAACATATATAAACATATAATCTAAATATATAAATGTTAAATATTACATATGATGTACACACACATATAAGTTTACATACTTTTTTTGGCTGTTTGCTCTCAGAGACTCATTTTTGTGTTCACCTTAATATGACTGAGTACGCCTGTTGAAACCTGACCTTAACTTTATCAAGTACAAGTTTATTAATTTTTATTATTAATATAACATAAACAGAACACATGAGGAAAAATCATACGTAGTATCAGTATCTTAACACAACAGCTATCTTTTTCAAATACTCCTTTTTAGTCTTGTGTATTTGAATATACATATGTATTTATTGATAGTGTATGAGAGAGTAAACGGCCCCCCAGTGGGGTTGGGTGTAGTCAGACTATAATCCTCTTTCCTCTATTTCTGAATTCTATCAGGAGTTGGGAAACCCATGTATATTCTTAGTGTTTTTCAAGCTACGAGGGCCAGGATTCGAACCCATCAGTTGTGTGGTATCACAGTTCCCTATGCACAGTGCTTAACCGCTATCCTACAGGCCTGCATTCATATTTTTATATATTTGAACTTGCTTTTTTTCTCTCTCTTTTGAGATTTTTGCTGTAGGACCCATGCACTCGCCAGAGAGACAGAAAGTAAAAAATCAGCTCCCATGGGGGATGGCCATGCCACAATCCCTTCTCCTCCATTCTCCTCTTGGGATCTTGGGCATGCACACACATACACCTGACCTGTTTAAGCCACCGGATCCGGAACCATGGTCTACTACGTGGGAGTCCAGTGACATAACCATTGTGCCATCTGTTGGTCCCACAGTTTGCTTTTTATAAAACAGCACTGATGGGGCAGCAGGTGATGTAGTGGTTAAGACGCTGGACTCCCACATGGCTGACCATGGTATGAGTCTGGAGCTGGCAGCTTTAAAATCACGCCACAAATGTGTTTATGTATGTCCAAAATCCTGAGAAGAGAATAGAAAAGAGGGGACTGCAGCATGGTCATGCCCCCTGGGGAGGCGTGATCATGCCCTCTGGGGACTGATTTCTCACTGTTCCTGTTTCTCTGTCTCTTTCTGGCAAGCACACATCCTATAACAAAAACAAAAACAAAAACAAAACAAGGAACAGTATTGGTTCTTTTACAACTCAGTCTTAGGGGCCAGCAGGTGGCGTGGTTAAGGCACTGGACTCCCACATGGCCAACTCTAGTTCTAGTGCCGGAACTCGGCTTGCTTTTGCTTTCTTTCTCTGGTCAAATTAAAATAAATAAGTCTTTCTGAAAACTGTCTTGTCTGTAGAAGAATGTGTGTGGGTATGTATGCTGGGGTAAGAAGGTAATAAAACAACTGATAGCATCATTCATGGCCTTAGATTATTGACTGAATTTGGACATCTGTAATAACTCATTTAAATAATGGTTTTATTCTCATGAAGGAAAAGCCTTCTTTACGTGATAGGAGCTGAAACCTGCTTAGTTACACTTGTCATCTAGGTTATGGCAGGCTTTATATGATTCACATCTCACCAAAATAGTCTAAGATGGTGTCAATTTAGGTAATATTTATTTTTTAAGATTTATATAACTTGCTATTTCATGCAGAGGTCAATATTTATTTCCCATGAACTTTTCATGGAAAATAATGACCTCAACAGCAGGAAACCACAGTGTTTCTTTTTCTTTGGCTTAGAGGCATTCATAAAATTGGCATTTTACAAAGACACGCTGGAAAGGCAGTTTCTTCCACCTACTCTTCTCAATGTCCAACACAAATCTTGGTTTGGATCAGGCATACTTCTCTACCACTTGGCTAGGGGAACCAGTGAGAGGTAGCCCTTAACATTTTTGTCTTTATTTGGTGAAGCAGGGTCAAGACAATGACTTATGTGGTAGGTGGTTAGATATGCAGAGCTTCTAGAAATAGTGAAGAATAGAATGTAATTATGAATTGTGCCAATGAACATGAGACTTTTTTGCTTGATTTTTAATCCAAGGTTGACTCCCCTGACTTTTTTCACATAAGGGCCTCCAGTCATCAGTAAGGATGTACACAGGGAATGTCGACTGAATAAAAACGACTTCAGAGTAAACTGGATGGAGTGTACATGTATTTCAAAGAAATTTCTGGACTTTATCACTTTAATTCATTTTTTTTTTTTAAAGAGTTTTATGCTAGAGGGTGATTGTGCCCACCAGAGAGACAGAAAGCCAGAAATCACCCCCCTCCCTCCCCAGGAGACATGGCCACACCTCAATTCCTTCTCTTCCATTCTCCTCTCGGGATTTTGGGCATGTACACATGCCCCGCCTGAGTTTAAGGCGCCAGTAGGGGAACACCAACCAGTCGGCTAGGTGGGAGTCCAGTCACATACCCAGCACACCAAGTGCTGGTCCCCATTACATAGTTAATACTACGGATAACAGAATCGGCTCAGCTTGTGGTTAAGCCTCAGTATTTAAACCGCATTATTGTCTTTTTGGGCTTTAGTACCCCCTCACTCCACCGTATTAAATTTTATGGGACGGCTGATGGCGAGGGGTGTGAAAGAGAGGACAGGGGAGCGTGTTCCCAGAAACTGGACCAAGAAGAGCCTTCTATCCTACAGCGGATGCCTACATCCCTTGGGACGGGGCCCTAACTGGCAGGACGGGTTGCCATTTTATTTTACATAGAACCGGGCACAGGGCTGTGGCTCACCCTATACGTTAACCGAGTCAAGGGGCCCCACAACGTGCGCAGGGGCTGCGTGGAAGAAATCTGAGACCCTGTGGTCGAACCCTCGGGACCGACGATCTGCAACTGAAGACAGGACTTCCACCCAGCAAGATTAAACATCAGCCGTGGCCATTAATTGCAGTAACCTCTCATTCCGGCTAAACCTTCGCGCCCTGAGTCCTCGCCGCCCCTCGCCCAGACGCCGGGCCATCTCCCGCACCGGCGGAGGCAAAGCTCTGCACACCGAAGTTCTCACAGCGGCGCAAACCTGCGACCCTCTCCCGCAGAGCGCTCAGACGGCGGCGGCGGCAGGACGCTCG